TTATCTATACTTATGTACACGTTTCTGGTAGGACTACTTATGTTTTTAAGCATTTGTTAAACATGAACAAGAAAACATTGTGACCTATTCTTTGATAGGGATTATGAAAACCAGGGGTAGACAACCTTGGTGCTCCAGCTCTTGTGGAACTACAAGTCCCATGAGGCATTAAAAGACTCCGACAGCCAGAGATATGATTCCCAGAGACAGAGGCATTATGGGCTATGTAGTTTCAGCCCAGCTGGAGTGCCTAGATAGCTTACACCGATCTAAACATGCTAGAGTAGCTGAACACCATGAACCCTCCTTCCTCCACACTCCCATCCCCGTCACCCTTTGCGTGCATTAGGAGCGACTAAGGCTCCGCCCACCGGTAAGATGCTAGGCAGCGTCAGTCGCTTCCAGAAGAAGTGCGCATGCCTGCTGTTCTTGCGTAACTTGCGTGCGCATGCGTAGTGTGTGCTTTGCTTTCTGATGGTTGGAGCGCGTTTTTGACTGTATTGGCCTCATACCAGGTGCTCCGGTCACTGGGGAGATGGCTTTCAATTTCGGGTCCGCTACAGGGGCCACGACCAACCAAGGTAGGCGGGCAGTGAAAGGGAGGTACTTAGTGTACTGGTACCTATAGCACCTTCAATGTTTGTAGTGGTGACATAGATTAGTGGTTGCGGTATAGACGATGTGTACAGTAATCATGTATCCTGACATGCGGGCGTACGTGGCCTGAGAGTCAGTGAATGGCTTATCTATGAAGGGCCTGTGTGTGTGTTGGGAATGGAGTCATTCCATGCACAGTATAATAAAGTGTGGATGAGTGCTGTCAGTCATCCTGGAGGGAGTATGGCCAGTGTAGGGGATGACTGTCAGTCTGTATCGTATATTAGGGTTTGCAGATGACACCCAGGATCAGGTTCATGGTAAATTAAAATACTGCATTCATCGCATCAACACTTTAATCAGCTAAAGATCTTGTGTAGTTTGTGTATGTCAGATTTGTATTGCATGAAGCTGCAAACCATAACACAATACAACATTGACGAATCATGCTGCAACTTGTAGTTTCTGAGTTCAATATCATACAGGTCATGGCAGCCTTCCAGTCAGTGTTCTTACATGTATTGTCAGAAGATGGGGGTGTGGACATTTGTCAGGTTTGAGGGGCGGCTGTCTGTGAACTGGATGGGCGTGGCACATGCACCAAAATGCTGCAACAAAATCAAACAGAATTACTGCCGGTTAATTAGGAAACTGGCAGCAATTAAAACCACCTCTGATCTGATGAGCAGAGAGCCTGCAGTGCTCAGTAGGGTATGTATGTGCTGGGCAGCTGTCATAAATGGCCATCGCAGTATTTGGGTAATTATGTCAGCCAGCATCTCCCAGCCCTTTACATTCATCAGTTGGCCGGGGAATGTCCTGGGTGGCAGCTGAATGTGGCCTGGGATGAGGCACTGGTTGGTAAGACACTGTTGGCCGGGGAGTGTCCTGGTTGGCAGCTGAATGTGGTCTGGGATGAGTCACTGGTTGGTAAGACACTGTTGCCCGGTGAATGTCCTGGGTGGCAGCTGAATGTGGCCTGGGATGAGGCACTGGTTGGTAAGACACTGTTGGCCGGGGAGTGTCCTGGGTGGCAGCTGAATGTGGCCTGGGATGAGGCACTGGTTGGTAAGACACTGTTGGCCGGGGAGTGTCCTGGGTGGCAGCTGAATGTGGCCTGGGATGAGGCACTGGTTGGTAAGACACTGTTGGCCGGGGAGTGTCCTGGGTGGCAGCTGAATGTGGCCTGGGATGAGGCACTGGTTGGTAAGACACTGTTGGCCGGGGAGTGTCCTGGGTGGCAGCTGAATGTGGCCTGGGATGAGGCACTGGTTGGTAAGACACTGTTGGCCGGGGAATGTCCTGGTGTGGCAGCTGTATGTGGCCTGGGATGAGTCACTGGTTGGTAAGACACTGTTGGCTGGGGAATGTCCTGGTGTGGCAGCTGTATGTGGCCTGGGATGAGTCACTGGTTGGTAAGACACTGTTGGCCGGGGAGTGTCCTGGGTGGCAGCTGAATGTGGCCTGGGATGAGTCACTGGTTGGTAAGACACTGTTGGCCGGGGAATGTCCTGGGTGGCAGCTGAATGTGGCCTGGCATGAGTCACTGGTTGGTAAGACTCTGTTGGCCGGTGAATGTCCTGGGTGGCAGCTGAATGTGGCCTGGGATGAGTCACTGGTTGGTAAGACACTGTTGGCCGGGGAGTGTCCTGGGTGGCAGCTGAATGTGGCCTGGGATGAGTCACTGGTTGGTAAGACACTGTTGACCTTCATGGCAGGATCACACGATATTCTTTAAAAGAAAACGTCTGGTATTATTTTTCACAGCTCGGTCAGCTAACTTATACAGTACGTTGTTTTTTATCCCATGCTTCTTTGTGCAGTAGAAGCTCAGATCCATAGGGTCATGATGTGCCCCCCCCCACCCCCCTTGCCAAAAACATTCTGTAGAAGAGACAGAACAACAGAGTTTTCCTGACACATAGGGATCACAGAAGGAGGGGGTGTGGTGTCACAGGAATCAGCACTGCCACTAGAACTGGAAGGGGGAGCCTTGTATTTTGTCAGGAAAGTGCAAGGACAGTGAGACAAGTGCTGTCAATCAAGGGGCCTGCCTCATTTGCAGAATGTGGTTTGTGTATGGGGGAGGAATGCGATGGTGCAATGTCACCCTCTAGATCTCGGCTTCTACTGAACACGGAAACGTGGGATAAAAAGCAACATATACGTAAACTCCCCGTTATCCGGCATCCACAGGGATTGGTAGATAACGGACAAATGTAGTTTCTGGTTGCTTGAGAGTTGCTATTAAAAATAGGTCTAACTGATCCAATACCCCATAACATATCATAACGTAAACTCTGTATTGACGTCATATTAATATTGAAATGCAGTAATCAAAAGCAAATTAAGACAAATAGACACACGATTGTTTCCCAGATAATACATGCCACAGATCAGCAAAACAGTGAGTACACAGGGAATTTTTTTTCTTTTCTTGTTAGATGAGAGTTCTGGTTAGTTGAATACCGGATAACTGAGAGCCTACTGTACTCTGGTAGTCAGGTGAATGAGCCGAGACATTTTCTTTAAAGGAGAACTATGGGGTTAATGCTTTTCCCCATAGTTCTCCTTGGGGTAACGGGAGGACACAAACTAGCGACCTCCCACCACCCTAGGCTCTGTATACACGAGCTGCTGCTGGTGGTATACTGAGACGCCGCAGCTGAAGCGGATCCCGACTAATGTGTCCCGGGATCTGCCCAGCTGCGTGACTGACAGCTGGCTCTGCCTATCTAGGGGCAGAGCCAGCTGTACCCGCCCCCTCCCCCGTCCGTTCCGGCAGTCAACGCTGGCGGAGCGGGGTATCCAGCCGTGACAGGATCGAGAGGTGAGCGAACGCCGGTATGTGTTTGCTTACTTCCCGATCTACTGAGCCGACCTGTGACAGTCTCATTAACACAGGTCGGCTAGAACTATGAGGTGAGTGAAAAGCACTCACCTCATAGTTCTCCTTTAATGAAAGCTGAATATTTTGAAAACATTTAAAAAAAAATATTTCAATAACAATTTTTTGATTTTGTTTTGTTTATACACGTAATACAAAATTACAGAGTGTTTCAATTGGGACAATGCAGCATTGATAATAGTCAGTGAAGAGAAAAAAAATAAATGAAATATATGTTTATCTGAACAATCGCATACACTGTGCATTTGGTAGTCAATAAACAAGTACCATAGGCTGCATATAGTGAGACACATGAGGCAAATCAATAGCTATGTAGCATCAAGCACTATAATCCTTTCCGAGTAAAGTTCTCAGGACGTTCACTGAGTCGCTCTTCCATGAATAAAGAGGTGCATGTCCAGAGATTGCAAAGCAAAAAAGTAATCATAACTCAAAAACTTAAACCAAAGGTAAAATTATGATTAAAATTGCCTCATTCCACTCTAAAGCTGGCCATAGACCTTACAACCATCGCAATACTTTTTTCTTGCAATGATTTGTAAGGTAATTAAAAAAAACGTACGATCTGCCCATCTTGAACAGGCAAATCGTACTTGCGATGACTGCAATGCTGAACGGGCAGTGTGCGCTTGCGCACACCGGCCCGTGCGGCATTTGTCTTAGGAGCAGGCCAGTTTTTTAAGCCTGCTCGTAAGATAAAAGATGTGCGACCATACAGTAGGAGCCGTCGCACGTCTTCCATTCACCTGCCGATCACCGTACGATCGTGGGATTTCCCGCCATTATCTTACGATAATCGGCAGGTGTATGGGCACCTTTAGGCCCCATTCACACTGACCGATTTATTGCGGGGTAATTCCCGCGATATCGCGGCTATTTACCGCGTGATATCGCTCTCCAATGCATGGCAATTGGGCTCTGTCCGTCGCTGTCGCGGGTCATGCGTCGCTACAGCAGGACCCTTTTTGGAGCGGATTTTGCCGCGATTCTAGCTTGCTCAATGCAAGCATTTGCGCGACAAACGCGCAATATTGCGCAAAATGCAAATCGCGCGACAAACACGCGATTTGCGAATCGCTCAATGTGAATGGGGCCTGAGACTGCATCCTGCCGAAGATAGTCCTATCCAAGCTGTACCAGGGCCTGCTCTCCCCTGGTTCCCCCTCCTAGTTCCTGGCCTAGTACGAAAAGCCAGTGACTGCCCCTGTTGGGTTGGACCTTGTCGCCTTGGCAACAGTATTCGGTCTTCGATAGAGTTCCAGGCTTTCCAGACCTTTTCATAGGTCGGTAATGTATTGTTCATGAAAACAACATTTTAACATACATATGTTAAAGTTTTTATATGAGATTTATGTGATTATGTTTAAATCTACTGTAAAGGGAACAGCAAGCCTTCCTTGATAACTGTTACAGTAGTGTAAGGCATTTGACTGGTCTAAGAAAACCTGGAATCTTATTTTGGTCAAGCTTTAATGTACTGTTAATATGTGTAGCAATGGTCCAGTTTTTTTTCTTTAACTGTTACTGTATTGTTTATTACAGGAACAACTGGCTTTTCCCTAGGAAGTTTTAATCCAAAAACCACAGCAGCAGGCTTTGGATTTGGTGCCGCTACCACAACAGCATCAACAGGATTTGGCGGTAAGCTTAACTCTACACCAGTTTGGGGTCAGAGCTCAGTATTGTCATACCTTGTCACGGGATTGTAATTGCAGTATTAGTAAATAACAGCAGATCGATTTCATTTTAGTGCAAGTGTAGTAAAAGAAAAAAAACAAAAACCATATAACAGCTCTGGCTAATTTTCTCAAGATTATTTTGCCTATCGTGTATGTAGATAATGTGAAGACTGGCTTGCTTTGCAATGTACAGGTATTAACTAGTGCATTTCCATCTCCAAATCACCTTCTGCTCCCTTTTGCTTGTGTCATTTGGGTAAAAGGGCTTTTTGTCATAGTGATTCTCTGAAAAATAAAATCTTATAGTATACTGGACAATGGTGGCAGAAATGGAATTGCATAGTTCATCTTAATTAGGTTATCTGTTCCTAGGCTACTGGGTTAAGTGAAGTTTATACTTCCCAGTTCTCCTCACAACTTTTGAATTAAGTCAGAGTCCTCCGACTAAAGAGTCCTCAGTCCTTGGATACAAGTCAGAGGATATGTTCTGTAAACCCTGTATGGTATAAGTTCCAGTCTGTTCACCCTTCACGAAGGCATCTTATTTTTATAGCGGGATGCTCTTGGAGGAAGGACGGGTGTCAGAGTTCTGGGATGGAAAGAAATAAAGAATTTTAGGAGACTTTTTTTTTTTTTTTTTTTGAGTGGGCACACACTGGCAAATGCAATAAGCTTCTTCTAGCTTTACTGGGCTGCTGTAGCCTTCATGTGTTTGGGTATTTGCCAGGTTCTGCGTATGAGGTCAATTACTACAATGTAAATGTTTCACACAATATGCATGTAGTACAGCATTGCAAAAGTGTACTAATATTACAGAAAAGAGCTAGCGATAGTATTTACATGACAAATGATCATTTTAGATTATCTGGTGAGACACCGCCAAATTTTTCAAGCCCTGTATATCTATATCTATATCTATATCTATATCTATATCTCACTAAATGATTCCATACTTATCTCTAACAAGGCAGCTATAGAACTATAAAATTGTGACAGCTACAATCTAATCCTAGATGGCGAACAAATTCGTTTTTAGTGCTGAATTAATAGACATAAATTATTATTATTATACAGGATTTATATAGCGCCAACAGTTTGCGCAGCGCTTTACAATCACAATACAATTCATGACAAGATGGTAAGGAGGGCCCTGCCTGTGAGGGCTTACAATCTAAAAGTGATTTAAAGTGTGTTTATACCCCAGAATTTTTTTTAGTTTTAGTTAAAGGAGCAACTTCTCAGGTGTTTATTGCTGTATGTGTTCCTGCTAAGTAGAATTGCCCTGGTGAGAATTGACAGAAAGTAATGGGAATTGTAAAACGGTTCAGTCTTCAACAGAAGAAGCGATGAGGGTAAATCTTCCAATGGGGACCCTTGCTGTTCTGGTGATATCTGTGGGGAATTATCCTCACTTCCTGTTGCATTTCCAAGAAAGGAAGTGAAGAGAAAACTGTCCAATAGGATAGGGTTTTAACCTATTCCTGTGCTATCCAAAACTAAATGTAAAAATGGCTGTACATACTGTACACTTTCAGTGATTAAGATTAAAACACAGTGATAATAAATGTGCAATAGTCCAACAAAGACTGCAATCATGTACCAAATGTGCATCTATGTCTATACAGCAAAGAATACAGTTTTTCAACAATGGGTTCTGATATTAGTTTATAAAGTTCATTCACATACAGGATTATTCACAAAAGTGTGAAGAGTTTGGAGAAGGCAGGAGACGTGAACAATCTAGGGCTGCAACCAACTAATCGATTATGAGAATAGTTGTCAACTGTTCTCATTATCGATTAGTTGGACCCCCTAACTCCTCCACGCTGGGAGGAGGGCCCAGCAAGCAGTGGGCGGGTGCAATAGCCAGGCGGCTATTGCAATTTGAAATGACCAATTGCAAGCTGACTATTGCACCCACCCACTGCCTGCTGTATCTACATACAGCTGCCGTCTGTGGAATCTTGCCACTGGCAGCCGTCATTTCCTGGCTGAAGCTATTCAAGCGCTACGTCTTTAAAGTATAATTATTTGTTTAAAAAAAAAAAAAGCAATTATAAAAGGCGGGGAAAAAGTAATTTTCGGTTTCAACCTGACAAATTCCGCTGTGGGGGCTATGTTGCAGTGCCATTCATTTCAATGGCTCCCACCCACAGTGTGATCACCTGCACTAGAACGCATGGTACCGTGCGAAAAGCAGTTTTATTCTGAAGTAAACTTTGTTTGTAACACTCCATTTGTGTATTTTATTTTAAGGATGGGATTTTATTTTTTTTTATTTTTTTATCTGATTAGTTGATTAAAAAAAATAATTGGCCAACTAATTGATTATGAAAATAACCATTAGTTGCAGCCCTAAAACAATCTAGGACAAAATAGCTGCTTTGGCAAAAAATTCCAGTTTAGCTATGTTGTCCTAGATTGATCACTTCTCCTGCCTTCTCCAAACTCTTCACCATTTTGTGAATAACCCCCATAGTGTTTTGTGTCATGCCAATAGGACTATACTGTATATGGAGACTTGATGATGCGTAGATAGACAGTGCCATTGCTGATTTAAAACTCAATGTGTTATTTTAAACGTCATCTGTAAGGAGCTGGTGTTTAAAACCACCCAGCTTGCCTACATTTGCCTGTGATGCATGTCTATATTCCAATGTATTTGTTGCCAGGTGTACTTTTCGGCCTTCTTTTGATAAAGCTTATTTATTGTTCTCAATAGCTACACTGCTCATAAATTACATATTTCTATATA